TTGCCTGGAGAATTCCATGGACAGAGGAGCCTGGCGGGCTACAGTCCATGGGGTCGCAAAGAGTTGGACATGACTGAGTGACTAAGCACAGCACAATGATCAATTCATTTAGTTGCTTTGTGTTGCTTTAGTTGCTTTATTTAGGCAACAATACTTTGGAGAACGCAACAGGAGATAGCTTTGCTCAATGCAATACATTCCAAATACTTTATTGAGTTGGTGTTATGGATACAGTTGAGTATTTGAGTATACTTACAGTAAAGATTTCCATGCTAAAATTGTTGTAGTCAAAGTCTAAAAGTAGAACTTTAGGGCTTTAGTTGTCATTTGTCCATGAATTAAGATAGATATAAATTATTTTCTAAAAAGAATTTTCATTCTGCTCATTAGTAATTCCTCGACTTCTGATTATCCTCTGCATGGAAATAGACCAGCTTTATGTTCATTTTTTTCAGTCATGTGTTTTTTGCTAGGTTCTAGTACTTTCATAAGGGGGAGGGGTATCAACCCTACTTATAGTTTGACATTTCATTAAGATATAGTTTTAAATCACACTGAAAAAAGAAAATGATTATATTCCAGACAATTGCCAAAGAAAATAATTTCAAAATCAAGTTATCCAAAACACAGCAAAAGCCTACCTGAAGGAAGCAGAGCTTATGGGGGACCACTCAAAGAATATGAATGAAATCCGCATACACTTGGACACACTCTAAATATCTTTCTACTGAATTGCATTTGGGGTAAAGTCTTAGTCCAAGTCATTAGCCATATGAAATTGATCATGTTATCTCTCAAATATTATTGAAGATATTGAGCAGTTACAGTACAGAGAATCCCTTGTATATGTGACCTCAAAGACAGTTTCCACCTTATCTTAGCATCTGAGCTTCTCCTAACAATTGCTCTTTGTTATTAAGGATTTGCCTTATGGATACTGTGGCTAGTGTATTGCCCTTTGCTCCTTACAGACAGTCCAAATAGCCATCCACAAATACCAAAGAGCATGGGCCTACAGGCTAAGCATTATATATTGGTTGATCCCTAGATCTATTTAAGGTTGTTCTCCTTATTTTTCCTTTTTCTACCTCTAGTTAATATTCTTTTGCTGCATTTTAGTCATCTGGGAAACCATTTTTGTAAAGAAAAAGGCTAATAATATTTCTATTTAAGGGAAAGAGGTTATTACCCCCAAAGCCTCAGAAAAGCCTGGCTTATCCTATAGTAAGCTGGTAAAAATGAGAAAAGATTTCTGCTTGGTTTCTCAAAAAGATTCAAAAAGGAAAAGTTAAAGAGCTTCTTTGAATAAAGAGCAAGCAAGCATAGAAAAAAATCAAAGCTGAGATAAAGTAAGATACAAATATAGCTAAAATAAGGAAATAGTACAAGAATAAATGTAATAGAAAAATGTAAATTTACTTTGATATTGATTGTAGACAGCATAAATGATTTCTAAATTCATATCTATACTATGAAAGACACAGGAGGTACCCATTCAGAAGCAGAGTAAAAAATCCAGAGGTAAGAAAAAAATATGAAAGGCATATATGTGAAGTCAGACTTGGATAATAATTTTCCAAATTCAGAAACCAGAGCAGTATCAGTGAAGCAATAGTCATGGATCTAATAGACAAAACTTTTCTGAGTGAAGAAAAATCACAACTCAAAGTGAATTACCAGGGTCTAGGCAAAATTAGTTAGAAGAACCTACATCTAAATCTGGAGTAGGAAATGGCAACCCACTCCAATATTCTAGCCTGGAAAATCCTGTGGACAGAAGAGCCTGGTGGGCTATAGTCCATGGGGTTGCAAAGAGTTGGACACAACTGATCAACTAAACACACACATCTAAATAAACAGTAATAATTTTTAAAACTTAAATTCAGGAACAAAAGGGAAAATTATATAATCACTTTTCAGAAATACACAGCAATAAGAATGCTCAATTTTCTTTTTTCAATTTTAATGAAAGTAAAAAGAATGTTATGTATAAAATTTCAAGGCATAAAAAGATTGAGAAGCAAAAATTACATTATAAAATCTAGATGACATATCTATGCCAAGAGTCTCAATTTCAGGCAAGGATTAAAGGATATATCACTATGTGTCCTTCCCAAGAAGAATACGTCAAGATAGATCCAGCAAGTATCAAAAACACTGATGGGTTTCTGGGAAACGGTGTAAAATTTAGTTAATTATTAATAAGCTATTATAGATATAATTGCAGAATTCAGTGAGAAATCCTAGAACTATTGGGTGAAAAAGTAGAGTCAAGTGACAAAAAATGATGTATAAAAATAAGCTGGATCTATAACCCTAAATGAAATAAAAACTTTGTAGTAAAGACAGACCATGGAAAATTAAGGGGACACTGAATTCTTGGCCATATATTATAAGGGAGTAGATTAAAAATTTATTTTTTATGACCTTAAGAGTTAAAGAGATATAAATTTAAAAATCTAGATTGCTATAGAGAATTTCCCCACTACTGTTAACTGCAGAAGATACCAATAGAGCAACAATGGTATAACCAGTAGAAGAGAGAAAACAAAGACAACAGTATCATCAGAAAGCTTAAAATAAAACCACAGAACCTTGCTGAATTTTAGCTCTAACTTTGTATATGTAATCTTTGGGGCTTTCTAAGATACAAGGTCGTGACAGCTGTGAATAGGGATAGTGTTGCTTCTTCCTTTCTAATTCGAATGCCTTTTCTTTCTTTTTCTTGCCTGCTTGCTCTGGCTAGAACTTCTCATATAATGTTGACTGGAAGTGGCAAAAGTGGGCATTGTTCCTTGTTCTGGGAAGGCAGGCTTTCTGTCTTTCACCACTGTGTTGTTGGCGGTGGGTTTTTCATGTATAGCCTTTATTGTGGTGTGGAGGTTAACTTCTATTTCTGTTTTACTAAGTGCTTTTGTCATGAAAGGATGTTGAACTCTGTCAAATTCTTTTATTCCATCAATTGAGATGATTCTGTTTTTCTTTTCTTGTGTTCTATTGATGTAATATATTACCTTGATTAATTTTTGTCTATTGACCCATTCTCAAATTCCAGAAATAGGTCCCACTTGGTCATGGTGTATAACCCTTTTAATGTACTACTCTGATTTGCTGGTATTTTGTCCAGGATTTTTATGTCAATTCATAAAGGATGTTTGTCACTTTCTTATAGTGTCTTTGGCATCAGTGTAAAAGTTTGTCAAATATATTCTGGATGCAAATTCCTTTTCAAATCTATTTTAAAAAAAAGGCCACAGAAATAAACATGACAGTTGGGACAGTACACACAGTAAGTTACCGTTTCCCCTTAACCCTTTACCTTCAGCCCCATGAAAAAATAGCTTAAAGCAACCAAAAATAGCATCTTGTCCTTACAGAAAATCTAATAGAGACAAAGGGGGTTTTTGTTTGTTTGTTGTTTGTTTTGTTTTAGGTACATAAACTCATAATTTTGAATATAAATATTGTGGTAGATTGAAGATGGCCACAATTGCTCTGTCTCTTTTCCCCCACCAAGAGGTGGAATCTATTTCCCCAACTTTTATATTAAGCTCACTTGTGACTTGCTCTGACCAATAAAAAGCAGCAGAAGGTATTTTCTGGGCCTTGGACTGAAGAAGCCTGGCAGTCTAGGTTTTTGCTCTCTTAGAACACAGCCCACCACGCTGTAAGGAAGCCTAAGTTATCTTGCTTGAGGCCACAATATATTTTACCACAATAAAAAGAAATATATATTTATAGAGCAAATGTATGTTCTAAAAAATCACTTCATCTTGCTTTATCCTACCTTATCACAGTTACTTTTAGTATTAATAATGATTTTTTTCTTCTTATAGTTTGCTCAGTATTTTTTAAACATTTTTTAGAAATCCAGATTTTTTAAGGGTTTTCAAATGAAAAGCTTTATCTAGCAGTAATGCCCTCAAACTTCAGCTCCCTAAGGGCCAGTGAATTGTGCTTGTCAGTTGCAAACTGTGGGTTTGCAACATTCCACACAGTATTTTCTGTTAAGGAAATGGTCTTCTTTGTAAAAGTTCCAGTTAATCAGCAAAATAACCTGATTACTACCAGTCTCTTGTATGCTAGTTGTCCCCCCCCCCCAACACAAATTATATGGTTAATATCTAAAGTTTCCATTTCTGAAGTAAATAGATTTCAAGGAGAACCAAGTATATGATTCTTGCAGCATTTTTCTTAGAGTCAATCCTTATTCAAGCATTTTGTTGCTGGAATCTCCTGTATAAATCCTGCTTCTCTCATACTCATTTTCTCTCCCTCCTGTGTGTTCTAGGGGGCGCAGCTACTTAAAGCTATCCTCATCCCCCATCCCTCACCTTGATATTTCTCACCTCTATACCTTTTTAGGGTTGCATTCCCCCTGCCCTGCAATTTTGCTTTGCTACACACACACACACACACACACACACTTCAGCATTTCACTAAAACTCTCTTCTACTGTCACCTCTCCCGGTAATGTTCCTTGACACCCTCCACTCTACCTTGTCTAGACTCACAAACCCATGCATGCTTCAAGCTGAATTAGATGACTTTCCTCCAGGCTCCTACTGCTTTTTTTTTCTTCTCTTATTACACTTCTTATATGGAATTACTTTGATCTTTTTCTGTGTTCTCTTCCCTCCAGCCTCCTTATCACTAACCTGTAAGATAAACTGTATTTCATTTACTTTTGGATTTCCCAGCACCTAGCAATGAGACCAGTGAGAGGTGACTCATTGACCAAATCAGAAAAAAAAAAAATGAGTGAGTGAGTAGCTTGAACCCCATGATATTAAATCTCTGCAAATAGTAATGCAGAAAACTGCATGGTTCCTTCCTCTGGTACGTTAATAACCTACTTGTCAGTTATTTGCTAGAATATGGATCCTTTACATTTCTTATTGTTCTCTCACAAATAGCTACATAAAAAACCTTGGAATGTTCGGCACAGTTGTAGAATTTGTATCTGTTACTATGACATCTCTGTTTTATTCAGAATCTACTTCATTAAGTCCAGAATGGGTTAGTTTCAATACACAATTTCCAGCTGAATGTTGTTCTAATAACAAAATTCATCAGACAGAGACATCCTTCAAAGGTACGAAGAGTTAACTGTGTAATTTTCTTAATAAGACAGAGAAGGCAGTGCATCATTTTTTCTAACTATGGCATGCTCTGTGACACCATGTAATTTTTGGGGTATCTATACTTTGCTTGGAAAAGAAAAAACAATACCTAGTTTCTTTTTAAGACTATTTTTGCTGCCAAGAAAAAAAAATCATTTGCTCTGTCACAATTATGGCAATAAATCTTACAGTGAAGACATTTAATGATGGCTACAAAGCTTCCTTTATTTTACCTTACAGAGACAGGCTTTAAGCTGAACTAACTTGGCATGCCAGGAAAAGCAAAGAATGGATGTGTTTTAGTTTTACAAATGCCTGTTTAAGAATTATGTTGTTTAAAAGTACTTTTTTGGTCCTAAGTTTGCATGGCCTATGAAAAGACTGTTGCCTTCTGATATAATAAATTTAATTACATTCAGAAGTAAAAGATTTAGACTTTTCATTCTTGGGAACTAAAATTTTAAGTTGAACTTGAAACAAGGTTGACTAACTCAGTTGTTTCAGACTTACTGCATCTTGAGTTTCCATCGGCTTCTAAATTTTTGAATTAATTTTGAATAGGAAATATGCTCAGAATATAAAATTTGAAAGGTCCCAAAGAGAGTATAGTGAAATATCCTTCCTACCCTGAGCTCCCTGCTCTATTTAACACTTTCCCCAATCCATGCACTTATACCAGCTTCTTCTGTATCATTTCAGAAGTGTTATATGCAAAGCAAATATTGAATATGAACATGCAATTTTCTTATTTAATGTCTTTAAGACTATCCCATATCAATACATACTGCATTTATTTTAATAGCTGCATAGAATCCCATTAGCTGGATAGAATATAATTTATAATCAGTCACACATTGATAAACAAATGTTATTACAAATGGTATCTCAAATGCTTATCATTGGCACATGTGTCTCTCCACAAATGTGAAATTATGTATGCAGCTTAAATTCATAGAAAAGGAATTGCTAGGTCAAAGGTTATGTATGTTTTTATCTTAATAGATATTGTAAACCAATTTCCTTAGGTGTTATACCAATTTATATGCCACCAACGTAAGTGTGCCTGAATTTTCACATTGTCACCAGAGATCATGTTACCAAAATTTATTTTTTACCAAATTTAAGGTTACAGAATATTCCCATATGTTATAAACTATGGAACAGCTCTTATTTTTTCAAGATAGGTATCTTAAAAACTTTTTTTTTTAATGTGAAAAATTTCTTATTTAGAACATTTGGGCTAACTTTGATGAGTGACATAATCTGCAATGTTTTAACAGTCATCAAAAAAGGAATTTAAAATTTTTCTTTGCAGAGTATGCACACATCAAAACAGAGGAAAGAAGGACTTGAAATCTTTCCCCACTTCCTTCTTCCCCTAGCTCCAAATCCATTCTGTACTGCCTAGTCTTTACTCGTTGCTCTCCCGCCTTTTCCCCACTTAATAAAGAGATCGTTTAGTTGACAGTTATTTTTTCCTAAATGTGGTTATTTGAAGTATAGTGACTGGATAAAACCAAATGTCTTTGGATTTTAAGGGCAAATTCAACTAATAGGAGACAGGACATTTTCGCCTTTTCTTTTAACCAGTTTACCAGATCATCTTCTTTGCTAATTTTCCTTTATATTTGAGTTTTTATTTATTTCCTTCTCTGCTTTCTTAGGAAAGAAACCTATCCCCTGAATCTGCAGAGCTGACTTAAATGCTCTTTTCCAAAGCAGAGCACAAATTAAAGAAGGCTCTTATTATATGGCAGTCACTGTCGTTGTGGTTAAGTGCGAACAGTGCAGAGGCAGTGCTTTTCAAAGGCACACACAAACACCATGTGCAGTGGCTGCTCTTTGGTGGATATGGCGACCTGTTCATTTCTTCACAGCTGTGAAGAAGACAGTTGTTAACAAGTAAGGTCCAAATATCCATTTCATCTTCTCAAATGAGAGCGAGTATAAATAAGTTAAAGCTAAAACTTCACTGAGATTCATGTACTTGGCCATGTATTTATATTTGAGGAACATTTAAAAATTATTTATATTTGGCAATTCTAAAAATTAAAATGCAAATGAAAGGTCCCAAAGAGAGTATAGTGAAATATCCTTCCTACCCTGAGCTCCCTGCTCTATTTAACACTTTCCCCAATCCATGCACTTATACCAGCTTCTTCTGTATCATTTCAGAAGTGTTATATGCAAAGCAAATATTGAATATGAACATGCAATTTTCTTATTTAATGTCTTTAAGACTATCCCATATCAATACATACTGCATTTATTTTAATAGCTGCATAGAATCCCATTAGCTGGATAGAATATAATTTATAATCAGTCACACATTGATAAACAAATGTTATTACAAATGGTATCTCAAATGCTTATCATTGGCACATGTGTCTCTCCACAAATGTGAAATTATGTATGCAGCTTAAATTCATAGAAAAGGAATTGCTAGGTCAAAGGTTATGTATGTTTTTATCTTAATAGATATTGTAAACCAATTTCCTTAGGTGTTATACCAATTTATATGCCACCAACGTAAGTGTGCCTGAATTTTCACATTGTCACCAGAGATCATGTTACCAAAATTTATTTTTTACCAAATTTAAGGTTACAGAATATTCCCATATGTTATAAACTATGGAACAGCTCTTATTTTTTCAAGATAGGTATCTTAAAAACTTTTTTTTTTAATGTGAAAAATTTCTTATTTAGAACATTTGGGCTAACTTTGATGAGTGACATAATCTGCAATGTTTTAACAGTCATCAAAAAAGGAATTTAAAATTTTTCTTTGCAGAGTATGCACACATCAAAACAGAGGAAAGAAGGACTTGAAATCTTTCCCCACTTCCTTCTTCCCCTAGCTCCAAATCCATTCTGTACTGCCTAGTCTTTACTCGTTGCTCTCCCGCCTTTTCCCCACTTAATAAAGAGATCGTTTAGTTGACAGTTATTTTTTCCTAAATGTGGTTATTTGAAGTATAGTGACTGGATAAAACCAAATGTCTTTGGATTTTAAGGGCAAATTCAACTAATAGGAGACAGGACATTTTCGCCTTTTCTTTTAACCAGTTTACCAGATCATCTTCTTTGCTAATTTTCCTTTATATTTGAGTTTTTATTTATTTCCTTCTCTGCTTTCTTAGGAAAGAAACCTATCCCCTGAATCTGCAGAGCTGACTTAAATGCTCTTTTCCAAAGCAGAGCACAAATTAAAGAAGGCTCTTATTATATGGCAGTCACTGTCGTCGTGGTTAAGTGCGAACAGTGCAGAGGCAGTGCTTTTCAAAGGCACTCACAAACACCATGTGCAGTGGCTGCTCTTTGGTGGATATGGCGACCTGTTCATTTCTTCACAGCTGTGAAGAAGACAGTTGTTAATAAGTAAGGTCCAAATATCCATTTCATCTTCTCAAATGAGAGCGAGTATAAATAAGTTAAAGCTAAAACTTCACTGAGATTCATGTACTTGGCCATGTATTTATATTTGAGGAACATTTAAAAATTATTTATATTTGGCAATTCTAAAAATTAAAATGCAAAATTGGGCCCAATGGGAGGTCCAATTGAGATAGTGTTGCAGATTAATGCTTAAATATTATAGTTAGCCACGCTAATGCTGTGCTTAGTTGCATCTGACTCTTTGTGACCCCATGGACTGTAGCCCACCAGGCTCCTCTGTCCATGGGGATTCTCCAGGCAAGGATACTGGAGTGAGTTGCCATGCCCTTCTCCAGGGGATCTTCTTGACCCAGAAATCAAACCAGGATCTCCTGCATTGCTGGCAGATTCTTTATCGGCTGCCTTTACCAGGGAAGCCCATAGTTGGCCATACTGTTACGGGAAGCACACTGACTGAAACCGCCCACCCTGGCCAGGCACCATAGAAACCATTTGCATGAGTTGCTTTATGACAGTAGGTCCTCGTAAGGAACATGGAAGTAATAAGCTACCGCCAACTGGAAGAGTTCGGGAAAGGTCAAAAGGAGATACCACATGTCGGACCTCATCCCAGAATCCTTCTCTCTGGCATCCATCTTGGCTGAACAAGGCGTGCACCGCCAGAAAGGACTCTGAGTCAGAATGATTGGCTGAAGACAACCCGGAAACTAATCCCATCACCATAAAACCGGAGACTGCAAGCCATGTGACAGAGCAGTTCTCCTGGGTTCTCTTACCCTACTGCTCTCCACCGAGGCGCCCTTTCCCAATAAAATCTCTTGCTTTATCAGCATATGTGTCTCCTCGGATAGTTTATTTCCGAGTGTTAGACAAGAGCCCAGTTTTGGACCCTGGAAGGGTTCCCCATTCCTGCAACAGTAGCAGGCTCTAAAATTAAGGTTTACACTAAAACCAAAACAAAAAATTAATTAAAAAATATGAAAAAAGCCAATGATAGTTTCAGTAGGTTTTTAGCACAAGTATCCCTTGATTTAAGCACACTCAGTAGCAAAATCTTTAGTAACTTTGATAAAGAAGTCAATCCATTATACATATCTAAAGGACCAGTTCCAAGTACTGATATTTTAGTTTTAGTTTTGCTTTTGGTTAAAAATAATATATGCTGGGTGTTAAGCACATTCTGATGAAGTGTGCTATTACAGTTAGTTCTAGTAGATATATTTATGTTCTGTATACAAAGAAAAAAAAAGGCAAAAACTTTTAGAGAAACTGTTAGGTCAGAGATGAAATCAAAAGGAAGATTCCAGTTATACAACAGGCAGAATTTAACAATACAGATAGAACAGGAAAAATGTAATACAAAGCATGCTGAAGCACGAACCAAAATGTGTTGGCAAGATTTCTAGAAGGAGAGTGGTGATGCAAGAGAAAGTTGATAATGTGCGTTGAAATGTCAGGGACCATAAATAGGGTGTGTTCCGAGAAAAACCTTTTTTATGTCTCCTGCATTTGCAAGCAGGTTCTTTACCACTGACGCTACCTGGTAAGCCCCAAAGAACCTTTTAAAAATAATGCT